CAACGGCAGTCAATTAATATTTTAGGTTTGCTTATGATGTCTTGATAAAATTTGCAATTTGTTAGCAGTCGCAACCGTTTACGTTTTTTGTTTGTGCTTAGCATCATACATACATACATACATATCTGTATTCGTATGGAATAGTAACTTATGTCCGAAGGCTGGCTTTAGTATAATGCGGCATTGCCTTTATTCTTTAAACGGCAAGGAATTTTTTGATGAGACTTAATAAGAATATTGACTTGCTAATATCGGAACTATTTTTCGCACGTTTATTTGCCAAAAGTGCTTCGAAGGGTCGGCGCCAGTAAGTCATTCGCAATCGTATGCTGTGAATGCCGTATTATACTAAAGCCTGCCTTTAGACATAAGCTACCCAGAAGATAATTTAGTTAGGCCTTCTTAAGTGAAGCCATTCTAANAAAAAGCTTACATTAAGATAAAGGAAATAATGAAAATTAAAAACATATCGTTTCTAAGGAGATCGAATTACTTATTTTGTTCCTGGCTTTTTCTATTCAGGGAAACTAAGATTAGCTACCCAGAAGATAAGTTTAGGTAGGCCTTCTTAAGTGAAGCCATTCTAAGAGGCCTACCCAAGAAGGGCTGAAAAAGTACTTCCTTGCATGCCTTTTAGAAGGGCTTATCCATTTACAATTTATGCGAATGCATAGCTTTATATTATTTAGCATTACAAATGAATTTTAATAAACATTTTAAGTTGCAATAACACAAATTTGATATAAACCTTAAGCAAATACTTCAAAGATGTATGAATTTTATAAAGGGCCTGTAAAAGCCCTTCTGGAAGGCCTTCAATTTGTGCCACTCCATACAAAAAAGGAAGGAGAAAGGAATGTAGAGTGGAAGGCCTCTTGATTCTCAGGAAGGACTTTCGGAAGGACTTTTAACTCCTGAAATTATCTACTGAGTACTATTCCAAACGAACAAAGATATGCTTATACATATTGTACATACCTATGTACAGTGCCGAACAGAAGTATTGGCACAGTGAATTTTTCGCAATATATGCAAAGTTATTTATTCTAATTTATCTTCGATAATTTTTTATAAAAATATTGTTCATTCTACACCAGAAAACATAATAATAAAATCTCTAAACTTTGTGCAAAACTCAGGAAAATGCATTAAATTTGCACACTAATTTGCAACTTTTTATTCAGATTTTTTAGAAAAATT